CCCCCCAATGCGGCCTCGCAGAAAGGCCATTTGTTCCCGGTTTTCGACTAGTTTTGCATTTTAGGCCCGTTTTTAATTATTTTAACGCGAAATTTTCACCCAAAACTTTATTTTAACATATAAGGCCCCATATTTATTAATTATTCACTTTTTTGGGGATAAATCTTATCCAAGAAGAGTGGGTGAAGTACAAGAGGTGGACTGTTGGCTTTTCTTTAGTTTATGACACAAGTAACCACCCATACCCACTTTATGACCAACCCACACCCCTCCCCACCATCCCTAGTCACTTCATAGTCCTTTCCCACTAATTTCCCAGCCATACTCACGTTCTAAGAGTTGGAAAACTCACCCTCTCTCCTCATTCTCACTCATTTCTCTCATTTCCAGCCAAAGAGCAAACACTTTTCTCTCAACTTCTCTATTTCAATTCCGAGATCTCCAAGGATTTTTTCAAGCTTTTCTTATTAATTTGGTAAGTATCATTATCTTTCATATGATTATTACACTTCCTTTTAACTCAAATAATATGTCCCTTACATCATATTTGTGTTAGATCTTCGAATCTTCTAGCAACATTCTAAGTATTCTTGAGTTGGATACTTCCTTTCTTCAACATCCATCCACTGAAATCACACAAGGTGAGTTCATACCCCTATATTTTCATGTTTTCTTAAGTTTTAAGGGGGTAATACAAGTTAAAACACCAAGAACATAACTAAACTTATCCAACAGCTTTCATCAGAAAAGTTTAACTCCATTCACGGACTGTTTTGGTCAACTTAAACATTTTAGTTTTCAAAAACGTATTAGATGAAAATATTTCAGATTTATACCTTTAAAATGAAAACTTTCACATGTTCATACTATTTTCCTACAATTTATGGTGATTTTTACAAAACTGCCTATCACTGTAGCTACAAATCCGGACCAGTCTGTGAATATGGACATTTTCACACAAGTTAGAGACATATAAAAATCATTATAAAATTTATGAAAAAACTAGACACATTTTATAAACTCCCAGAGTTTACGGATTTAGTTTTCGACTTTGTATGATTTTTCTGTGATTTTTCCAAAACAGGGCAGAATTGTTAAAAACAAGTTGACAGCTTACAACTTTCATTACGCTTTGTAACATGTTGAGGAAAGTGTTAATCTTTGATGGTTTCATATTTTCTCTATGTTTTCTGTTGTAGTATAGTTATATAAAAGAAAATACTCACTGATTTGTAAGAGTCCATTTTCATTACAATTAATACAAGATAAGGCATGATAAACATAGTTATGTTTCTGATATACATTCGACTCACATAAAATGAGGTTCATTTGCATTACAAACGTATTAGATAGACTATAATAGGTATAATTTATGTTTCATATACATTACAAATAGTCATGACAAACTATAACAGGTATAGTTTATGTTTCAATCACATTTCAAACTCATTACCAAAGGTTTTCAATTCATATAAATGGTGTACGAATACAAAGTATGGGTTTATACAAAAGTGGGTTTTCAGTTCATATAAATGGGGTACAAATACAAAGTACCGGGTTTATACAAAAAAAAGGGTTTTCAGTTCAGTCCATGTAAATTTGTTAATGAATAAATTTGTGAGACATTCGCTTCGCATTACCTCTAGAGTAACAAAGTCAAAAGTCCTATAATTATAACCAAAGTTTCATATAGGGAGAACGTGATAGTTGTGTATAGATCTATATTGGTCTGACAAACCCGCACCTGAGCTGCATGCAACAGCTAGACTGACAGGTCTGTGGTGACAAGTGTCATTTAACTGGCGACGCCTGAAGAACGTCGTATTACGAGGCCGACAGGTCATAGTATGGTTATAATAACTCACATGGGGTATTAACAAAACATAAGATTTACGGGTTCTTACTTTTAAATTTAACGAGTTCAGGTTGATTTAAATTTGTATAAAATTTCTTTAAGTATGGGAAAATACTTGTACATTTTGGTCTTGAATTTTAAGACTACAATACATTATTGGATTTTTCTTGAACAAACATCACTTTTACAAAGAAAAGGATTTTAGTATCAAGTTAAAAGCTTATGAACTCACTAACTTAATTGTTGACACTTTTCTTTCAAAAATACTTGTATTCTCAGGAAATCAACGAAATCAAGTAACCACAAGCTTTTGAGGATGGAACGCTATGACTTTGAACAACTAGTTTATTATCAAGTTGTAATCAATCATTGAAATATGTAACACTTGCAACCATGTAATATCTTTTTAAATTATATTTATGATAGGTTGTATTGCTTTGATCACTATTATACATGTTGTTATGATACTATACATGAAGTCCTCCACCCCTAGACGTTTCCGCCATCTTTGGTTTGGGGGTGTGACACTTTCCTCCATTGTTGAGCAAGTTTGAATGAATGGAAACCATAAAGTTGGCAACTTTATGGGTTATAAGGGCCTTAAGTGGGCTATGGAGTTCAAATCTAGTCAATGGTTGGGTTTTGGAACCTTTCATGAAAGTTGGATGTTCTTTTCTTCAATTTTTGACCCAAATGAGATCTATATATGTTAATGGACACATATGTCTTAAAACCATCGACTTTCAGGTGTATTATCGAGTTATAAGACCTTCTGGAAAGTTAGAGTTCAAAGATTAATGGATTAAGGACTTAAAATGTTGAGTTTTTGGCTTCAGACTGTGCTCACGACACGAGACAAAGGGTCTCACGATATGAGGATTGGATGTTCCAATTTCTGATGAGTTTCATGCGGCTCACTACGTGAAAAAGGGTTGCTCACATTGTGAGGTCATCTCATGCGACTTTCCTTAACTGAGTTGACTAGATTGAGTCGTAATGAGTTGGAATCAGAATGAGTGAGCTCTCAAGACGTGACCAAGGATTGGTCACGACGTGAAGATGGATAGTTGGCATTATGGACTGTTGACTTTGAATCTGACCGTTCAATTTTGGCTTGGGTTGACTTTTAGTCGATTTTATTTTTAGAAGGTAGACTTAGGTTTTACCTTGTGTGGATTGATAGGAGGTGTTAATCTCCCATCTTTTAGTGGACGAGCAGTTAGTTATGGCCGACACAGTTTTGAGCTGAGTGTTAGTCGGCATTGTGATTCAGGTGAGTCTCCTCACTATACTCAAGGGTCGAAGGCATCAATGTTGGCCCATTGGATTATGTTAAACAGGAAGACCAGGAGGTGGCCCTTGATATTTGTATGAAAACCTAGAGGTGGATCCAGGAAAACTGTATGTAAGACCAGGGATCGAACCCTGGCAGATATATGTAGTATGTTCGTTGTCTTTGTGATACTTGTATGGAAGACCAAGAGGTGGTTCTTGTCTCTTGTCTGTAAGACCCATGATTTTAGCCATTAGCCTAGCAAGGAAAGCCCATGATACAGCTCATGGTGTAATGGCAAGAGTATGGTTGACACATAGTAATCTCTATTGTATGTATGGTATGTGGTATTTTGGGGAACTCACTAAGCTTTGTACTTATGGTTTAATATTAATGGTTTTAGATACTTTAGGTTCGAAATGGAAGGGTCCGACGTGACTGCACAACATCCCTCAGAGTTTTTTGCATTGACAATTAATGATATTACTTTGATGTTTAAGTAATTTATTCACTTTGATTGGTTAGGAACAACTAGTTTGTATGATTTATTGTTTTAAAAAAAATTAATATGAATTTTTGGGACATTACAAATGACTTCCTTTGAATTCATGTCATCCCTATGGTATGCCCGTGCAACCATAAAAAGAGATGTAGTTTTTGTTAACAGGTTCACGAGTTACACATGAACATTGGATTGGCATAAATTCAAGATGTGTGGTGAAGATTATGTTAATGGCTGATGAACTTCCTTGTATGCCAAGCAGGGAAGTTGCACCATAATTTTTCAGCAAGTTTTTCAACATATGCCGATGTGAAATTCTTAAAATGGTTTATTCTAAGTGGCAATACTCTTTTATGGTGCAGTATGATAATTCTATGGCTTTAGAATTATGATTTTTGGTTAAAACAATATTTCCTTTTATGTGGTTACATTTTTTTATTCATTTATCCAAGGTGGAGGTTGTTGAGTTTTGGCTAAATAATAAATATTGTTTTCCATCCCACATTGCTAGATGGATGAAAGCTTGGGAGGTCTGCAAGCTTATAAAACAAGACCATTGCTTTGGTTTCAAAGCACCCCAACCAAAATACACTTGAAGTGTTTGGTTCTTTTATTTTTCTCTTATATTAGAGTTTCTTATCTTGTCTTAGAGTATAGAAAGTATTTGTTAACATTTTGATAAAGTGTGAGTGTTTTTGAAGAGGTTTGAGAGATTAGTCTATGTGATTGTAACAATTTATCATATAGTGGATCGTTCTCTCTAGAGTGTCGTGGGTTATTCTCTGGTTTTGGATTTTCCACGTATATTCTTGTGTCCAATTATTTTTCTATATCATTGTTATTGGGAGGTTGTTGGGAACCTTGAGGCTGTTTTTCCTAACAATGTGTTGTCGTTCGAGAATGCGGAGGCCCATCAAAACTTTGATTTTTGATGATCTAGGTCATCCACGTACAATCCGACTTACGTGAAAAAACAATGATTTACCAAATTGCCCTTAAATTTACCAACAGATTATCGAAGGAATTTCAAATTTGTTGATTTCCGTCGGTAAACGTTGGAAGTTGTAATGGATTAACGACCGATTTTATTCTGTTGCCAAACCGTTGCAAAAAAACATCACTAATATCCAAATAATTCGTCTTCGGTATCCTGTTGCTTAAATCTGTTGCTAATACTCATCTTTCTAGTATAATATCTAGTTGCAAGTACAAGTTGCAAGTAAATTTCATTACATTTGTTCAAGAGATAGCCTTAATCTTTAAATTGCAGCGCATTTTCATAATAAACCATAAATCATAACGAAAATTGTTAATCGCACTTAATCTTCATGAAGAATCATATTAGGTGACCCGTTCTTAATGGGGAACTGTTAATAAGTCTCTGGGAAAATCAGAGCACCTTCCTCGAGTTGAAGTTCAAGGAGTGCATGGTGAAATTTCTTCAAAAACTCATCAACATTGATTACCGACGTATCAGGGAGCTCGGTGTATCCCAAGGTGTTTGACACATACACTAGGGCATCCCAATTGTTAGTGAAGAACGCTATCTTGAGATAATCGGGATCGAATGTCTCTTCCTTTACGCTGACTTTTCTTACAATGATTTTCAGTGGGTAGTTGTTTGTTACTCCCTTGATCTGCGATCTGAGAATGTTGTGGGTTAATAGCCTCATCTTTGTGTTCGTGTATATGGTGATGGTGTTTTGATATTTGATTTTGAGTTTTTTTAGGAGACAAAGAAGAGGAAAAAAAGCATGGCTGTTACGATTTCACTTAGGTAAATCAGTGTCAATCTTATTTGGATCATTTTTCGTTAGGATTGGGTAAAATCGTAATATCACATCATAAGATTGTAGAATTGATTGTAAGATCGTAGGCTCGTTTATATATATATATATATATATATATATATATATATATATATATATATATATATATATATAATTCAAATATTTTTTAGATTAACTACGTAGAATACCCATTTTGAATTACTTATTGTTAAATAATATATTATAAAATTATTTTTTTTTTAATGCATTTATTGTTAAGTGAATGGTTAAATGACGGATGAATATGTATCTTTTATTTTTCAAAATACTTTTTGTAGGATCTTACGATCCAATTTAAACTTACGATCACGATATTGCAAAGTGGAAAATTATCATATATATAAGATCTCAGATCTTAATAACTTTGGAAAAAACGATTAAGAAGGAGAAAATAATTTTTTTATATAGATGAGAGGATTGTGAGGGATATAGAAGAGGTCCTCCTAAATATACGAACTATTCGTGTGAGACTATTTTTGACTAGCAAAATAGACATCACCCGGTCAAATTCTATACCACATTTCCTCCGTCTATCTTCTCAATTATATATTTTTCATATATAAATAAACATATCAATATTTTCTATCCACACCCGTTAACTTTATTATTACATAATTACCCTTTTATTTTTTAAAGACAAATAGAGAAATCTAAAAGAAAATACAAATATTGTACTCTAATTTGCAGAAAAAAAAAATATTAAATTAAAACTTGTTTACGAAAAAACATGAATTACTGGAGAAAATAACGATTTGACAATTTTTTTCCGGTTTTATTACTTACCTGGTCCCATTAAAGTTTCATTATTTTACCTTAATTTACGAATACGTCTTAAACTAAAATTTAGTGATGATTTGATCATTTTCTCAATGTAAAATAGATTTTACCGTTTTCATTGTTGACATGCACGTTCAGTCATTAAATAAGTTGATAAAATGGATATGACGGGTTATATAATGATATGTTATTAAATTTGATATCCATCTCATTGGATCATTTGTAACTATATATCCATGTCGACAATAAAACCAATAAAATGTTTTTTTCCAAGAAAAAAAGGGCGAAAAACGAGCAGATGTCTAATGAGATGGATATACTGTTGTAACGGCGTAAATTTTCAAACCACATTTTCCAGTTTTAGAAAAACACATTTATCTCAATAATAAAATCACAAAGATGTCATAATGTCACATCATCAAATTTCACATCCAAAATCTATATATATATATATATATATATATATATATATATATATATATATATATATATATATATATGAAAACTCTAGGATCCTCTCAATCATAACTCAATCTCTAACGTGTGTATAATCAAGCCGGCGCCTTCTCGTGATCCTGAGAAGTAGCTGAAACACATAACACATAACACGGTAAGCATGAAGTTTAGTGAGTTCCCCAAAATACCACATACAACTCATTAGCCACTCGAGGCTATAACTCTGTAAGACCATCCGGTCAATGTGTCTCAGTGGGACCCTCTAATCCCACAACTCTGATAGGCCATCCGGTCCTAACTTTGTGGACCATCCGATCCTAACTCTGTAACTCATAAATATACATGGCATAAATAACACAATGCAGGATATCAGAGTACTAAAATAAACACATAAGACCCTCCGCTCACACAAAACTCATATTACTACTCTAGGTATGTATAGTGAGAAGACTCACCTCATAAGCTAGCAAGTAAAAGTCTCATACTCGGGAATCTAGAACTAGCCTCTGCCTAACACATAGGATAATCATCTCTGATTAATACTCTACTCATACTCAAATACACCAAAGGTTGTTCTCTCTTTCTCTCTAGATCTTGGAATGGGTAAAAGACCATTTTACCCCTACATGGTCTCCATTACTCTTGTTGACCAAACCCTAAAGTGGACAGAAATCAAACTTGAGTCTTGAATTGACTCGCCGAGCGCAGTCATGCGACTCGTCGAGTCCACGCATTCCTCATAAGTCTCGTGAAGGTCTAGCTCGTCGAGTTAACCCCTAACTCACCGAGCTATCACATGGTCCAACTCATCGGGACAAACCCTAACCGACTCGTCGAGTCAGTTCATGGACTCGACTAGTCCCTTCGATCTGATTTCTCATTCAGACGATTTAAGGCAAATATATCACTCTAAACACTAGATCTACCATCCTAAAGATCGATTGTCATGTAAAGCTTCGATCTTTACGCTTATGCATGGTGGTTTTGCTCCAATCCACCAATACATGTTCTCTCAAGGTATTAAAACCATACTCTTCACATTGGTGAAAAAAATTGGGACCTTTGGGCTCTAGAGACCTCACAAGGTCCAGATCTAAGGTTTAAACCACTTGATAACTTAGTATGCTCGAAGTCCCAAAGAAAATGTAATGAAAACCCTAATTTCTCAAACTCATGAGATCTAACCAAATAAAGGGGAAAGATTCAAGTTTTTTACCTTCCTCTTGTTCCTTGCTGAACCCCAACAACTCCTTCTTGTTCCTTGCTGAAGAAACTCAATTTCCTCCTCAAAGATGTACTAAAATCCTTCAAGGTTAGCTTGGAGACTCTCTTAGCTCACTACACTCGTTTAGGGTTTCACACAGTAAGGTTAAACAGCTGGTGAGCTGCAAATGAGGCTATAAGTGTCCTTATATAGGCCCCAAACCCGTGGATTTAGGATTTCACTTCACAGCGTCTACTCGGCGAGTCGACTCTCTGAGTCGTCGAGTAAATTGTTAATCCCACGTGGCACAACGCGACTCTACTCGACGAGTTGTAGCACCTACTCGTCGAGTTGCTCAATGGTCCTAAAAAATAAATAAGTAGATAATATACCTGGGAGTCCGGATGTTACAATTCTCCCCCACTAGAATCAGGCTTCGCCCTCGAAGTCATGCTCCAGAAATAGCTTTGGGTATTGCTCTCACATCTCAGATTCTGGCTCCCAATTCAACTCGGACCCTCTCCGATGTTGCCATTGGACCTGAACCAGGGGCACCTCTTTGTTCCTCAGAACCTTCACATTTCGATCCAATATTGCAATCGGCCTCTCAATATAATTTAGGCTCGCATCCACCTGAATGTCCTCGAATGGCACCACTATCGTTTCATCGGCTACACACTTCTTTAGCTGAGACATGTGGAAGGTGTTATGGATCTGACTCAAATCTGCAGGTAGCTCCAACTGGTATGCTACCTTACCCACTCTGGCGGTCACTCTGAAAGGACCGTTGTATCGGGGCCCCATCTTGCCCCGTTTCTCGAATTGGATCACCCTTTTCCATGGGGATACCATCAGGAGGACAAAGTCTCCAACCTGGAACTCTAGCTCAGAACGTCGCCGATCTGCGTAACTCTTTTGGCGACTCCAGGCTGTTAGTAACCTCTGTTTGACCTGTTGAATTTGCTCAGTCGTCTTCAACACTATCCCATTTCCACCCATCACTCTATGCCCTACTTCTCCCCAACAAATGGTTGTCCGACACCTCCTACCGTACAGAAGCTCAAAGGGAGGCATACCAATACTTGAATGATAGCTGTTGTTGTAAGAAAACTCAGCCAGGGGTAAGTAAGTGTCCCAAATTTCTCCGAAGTCCATAACACATGCACACAACATGTCCTTGATCTTTTGAATTATCCGCTCGCTCTGTCCGTCCGTCTGCGGGTGGTACGTAGTACTGAAATGCAAGCGCGTGCCCAACTCCAATTGAAATTTCTTCCAAAACCTGGAAGTAAAACGCACGTCTCGATCTGACACTATCGAGTTCGGCACTCCATGCCGTGATACCACCTCTCTCATATAGATCTCGGCTAGTCTCTCTGCAGAAGAGCTCTCACTAATAGATGCATCAACATCACACCCACCCTTGATATAGATGCATCGCAGTATACCACTAAGTCCTCCACTCCCTCGGGAAGGGCTAACACCGGGGCCTCGCACAATCTCTGGCGAAGAGTCTCGAATGAGGCTTGCTTCTTGGGACCCCAAATAAAAGTGACACCCTTCCGGGTCAACCTAGTGAGGGAAACTCCTGATCTCGATGGGGGATCTCGGCACCTCCCATCTCATAACTGCCTCAATCTTGGCCTGGTCGACCGATATCCCATTCTAATTAATGAGGTATCCCAGGAACTGGACCTCTTGTACCCAAAAATCACACTTGGAGAATTTGGCATAAAGCCTCTCCGATCTCAATACTCCAAGAATCTCTCCCAGATATGTTGCTCTCTGGATCTCGAATACACCAAGATATCATCGATGAACATGATAACTGATCGATCCAACATAGACTTGTACACTCGATTTATGAGGTCCATGAACACTGTCAGCAGATTTGTGAGCCCGAAAGGCATCACCACGAACTCGTAGTGCTCATAATGAGTGCTAAAATCCGTCTTGTGGATATACTCCTCGCGGACTCTCATCTGATGATATCCAGACTGCAAATCGATCTTGGAAACCAAGACGCACCATGAAACTGATCGAACAGATTATAGATCCTTGGAAGTGGATAACGGTTCTTAACCATCAACTTATTCAACTCCCGGTAATGATTACACATCTGGTGTGAACCATCCTTTTTCTTGACAAAAAGGATTAGTGCTCCCCAAGACGAGCTACTCGGTCTGATAAAACCCTTCCCCAACAGCTCCTGAAGCTGTAAGGATCGCTCCTGCATCTCTGATGGTGCAAGGCGATAAGGTGCCTTGGCAATAGACACTGCTCCTGGAACCAAATTAATCCGGAACTCCACTTGCATCTCGAGAGGCACACCCGATAACTCCTTGGGAAAACATCCGGAAACTCACTCACTATCGGAACCTCATCGATAGAACTCGGTCTCTTAGTA